TTTTAATTGTTGTTGTTGTTGTTTGCCGTCGAGTCGGCCCCGACTCATAGCGACCCCTCCTTGGGTTTCCGAGGCAGTATCACTACGGAAGTAGGATTGCCCAACCTTCCTTCCGAGGAGTGGCTGGTGGGTTTGAACCGCCAGCCGTCTGGTTAGCAGACAAGTGTCTTAGCCACTATGTTACCAGAACTCCTATTTTTAATAGCATGTTTATATTGGCCCTGAAAATCAGCCAACAAAAAACCTATGGACCACAACAGTCCAATTTGCAATTCATCATGGAGGTGGTGCAGGACCAGAAACCATAACCACTGTGTGTGACAGGTCAGTGAGTCAAGGGCTGACTCTACAGCAGCTACCAAAAAACCAAACCAAACTCACTGCCATTGAGTCGATTCTGACTTATAGCAAGCTTCTTTGGGTTTCCAAGGCAGTAAATCTTTATGGAAACAGATTGCCCAGTCTTCCTCCCGTGGAGTGGCTGGTGGGCTTGAACTGCCAACCTTCTGGTTAGCAAAGGCCCTAGGCTCTGAGCCACCAGAGTTCCTTGTACAGCAGCTAAGAACAGGTTTATAGTGGAAAAACTGAGAGACAAAGAGGTCATACAAACAGGCTAATCTGGTTTCTTGACTCCTAACCATAATCAACAAGAGCTCTGGTAGCATAGTGCCTAAGGCACTTGACTGTTAACCAAAAGCCTGGTGGTTCAAACCCACCAAGCCACTCCTTGGAAGGAAGGTTAGGCAATCTACTCCCATAGTGATACTGCCTCGGAAACCCAAGGAGGACTTGCTATGTGTCGGTCTGACTCTCTGACTCGACACTCAATGCCACATAACAGCAACCCTAACCAACAGACACTAGATCTGGTCTTGCTGTCAATCGCTGACTTACCCGCAGCTCCCAGTGAAACCAGGATATTCTCTCGAGGGCCAATGTTCTTGTCATAAGGTCGATAGCCGTAGAGGTGGGCGGCACTGTTCACCAACCAAGTGGCATTCAGCACTATGGCATAACGCAGGAAAGTGCTAACAAACAAGCTGTGTTCCCAAGTTTCACCCCAGAGACACCATGGCACCAGAGTGGGCAGGATGAAGCACATCAACAGCATGGCAGGTTTGTAGTATCTACATGGAGAGAGAATACACTGCATCAGCCTCAACTCCCCACTCACTGGGTTGGACCAACTCTTCTTTCTTCCCACATGAGGACAGTGTGGCGGAAAACATACCAAGAGGGAATGGATGGGAAATCTTTTGAGAATGTCATGTTACTATCTCACTCTTTAAATGAGGTCACGAGTTGGGGTTAAGTGACTTTCTAGGATTGTATCACTAGGAGCCAGTGGAGCCAGGATTGGCATGTTTCTCTCCTGACTCTAAAATCACTGCTCTTCCCTTTTTGGACAGAGTAGAACTGCACCATATGGTTTCCAAGGCTATAAATATTTACGGAATCAGACTGCCTCACTTTCTCCTGCAGAGTGGCTAGTGGGTTCAAACTGCTGACTTTTTGGTTACCAGCTGAATAGTCCATCACTATGCCACCAGAGCCCCTTTGGTAAAATAGGTGAGGTCCAAGTTAAAAACTAATAAACGGAATTCTCTTTCCCAGGCAGGTTTTCCACTCTGCCTCTGGGCTCCTTTCTTTTGCCCATCAGTGCTTTTACAGAATGTGTTGAGTGTCATGCCTCTCATTTCCTGCTGTCTACTCTCTAATCCTTTACCTTTCTTCTCCCTCAAACAGGCACACTAAGTGTCCTTGACTGCCAGCAGGTCTCTGTCCCTCTGCAGGCCCTATCTCATTCCCTAACGCCATTGACATTCTAAGGGAATTGACTTCTTACCTCCCTTCAGCAGTCAAGTCTTACACTTTTATGTCCCAAGCATCCAACCTCTTACCATTCCTGCTACTTGTTCCTTGCATCAATCCTTATTACCTATTAATTTGTAGTTACTTTCAAACTTGTATCCTGCCTCTCATCTCTTTGGCTCAATGGCTTCTTTCACCTTTCCTCAGTTACCTTTCTAAAGCACATCTTTGACTATGTCACTTTCCTATGCAAAAAAACAAAACAAAACGAAAACCTAGAAATGGTTTCCTATTGCCTACTGAATTAAATCTTGTTTGTTTTTTGTTTTAAATCCTATAAGAATAGCATCAGCTTCTCTTCCTATCTTATTTCTTACCACACCCTATACTTCAAGTAAAAACCCTATCCCTGGAACATGCTTCAGCTCATTTTATTCTTTCTGCTTGGATCCCACCTCCCACACCACTCAGCACCCCCCCCCCCATCAAAATCCCTACCCACCCACCCGACTTGATCTGGGGCTACTTCCCTCATAAATTCTTCCAAGATGTATTGCACCTTGTGTCATGTTCTTGGGGTTCTTAGTTTATCCCCTCATCCCTCAGTAGTCTACAAACTCACTGAGGGTAAAGACTATGCCATACTCATCTTTATATCCACAGCTGTTCTAGGTCAATAGACATTTGTTGAGTTTATTTAATTCAGATAGCTCAAAGGAACAGAGCCGTAATCTATGGCTGTGGGCCTGTAGAACATTAAAAGTTGGAGTTTCCAATTATGATTTTGTACACGCAAACCCACTAATTTCTCAGCTTATGTTTTATGTGCTAGGAGAAATAGGGGGCTCCCTAATGCCAGGTGCTCAGGGCCATATCCCCATCTCTATCATCACTTCACTCACTTCCTCTGGAACATCACCAACTTCTCAGCTTTTAGGTCAGACAAGTCCAGCAAACCGCCCTTCTCTTTGACAGCTGGGTGTTTGCGCACAAGCAGCCAACCCACGTGAGAGAAGAAAAAGCCACGGCGGGAATTGTGAGGATCAGCATCCGTTTCAGAAAACTTGTGGTGGACACGGTGGTCTCGGGCCCATTCAAAAACATCATTCTGGAGGGACAAAGAAGAGAAATGGAGGCCTGAAGAGAGACACTCTCTTAGGGGAATTCCCATGGCTCTCAGCCCAACCTCACCAAACACCCAGCAATCTGGGCTCCAAAGGAGGGAGTCATGGAGTTGTGTCCTCTTTACCCAACTTGCTACTGAAGAAGAGAAGCCACTTAAAAGTCTCAGGACCACATAAATAGGACCATCTGCTTCTTGAAGGTTATATGGTGGGTGGATTGGGTGTAGATCATACAGAACTCAGGTCGTCCTAGGGTCTAGGGATGAGGCTGCAGGGGTTCCATTCCGATGTCCTCGGCAAGAGACTGCCTGTACAACTCACTAACAAGGCCAAACCATATAATTATCAAGATCATGACACATTTGCAAATGACCAGAGTCTGTCTGGGACTCTTCCCGTCTCTTTAATATGTATCAATATCTCCCATTCCTTTTGTCCCACAAGGGCACTGTCAGAAACCTTTAAGGTATGAAGTGTTTCATCAGAGATATTTTACAACTGTGGTAAGTATCCAAGATACTGCATGGCAAAGGGCACTGATTTGGCTTCCTTCTTTTCATGTCTTGCTCCAAGCTAAGCCCCACAGCACATGCTATCCTTTGCCCATGGCTCCCACTTAATAGCGTTCCTACAGAATCCCCTTTCTCCAATTCCTTTCATTCTATCGCTGCTATAAAACTTTCTGTCTCAAACCTCAACACTTGACTCAATCAGTCTAGCAGCCCAAGTTAGGACCAAAATAGGTCATCTAACCTCTCAGGGACTCAGTTTCCCCATTTGTAAAATGCAGATGATATTAATAGTAGATACCTCCTAAGACTGTTGTGAAGATGTAATGAGGTAGTCTTTACTCTTATTATTTAAAAACAACAGTTTGTAAGTCTGTGAAACACAAAGTTGAATCTCACTGTGGCAAGGTCCTAAGATACTCCCCTAGAATGTTAGTTTATTATCCAATGTCAGCCCAGGGAGCCAGGGCAGAGGAAACTGGACTCAGTCCCTGCCTTCTACATGATGGTCCCTTATGAAGAAAGACCACAATGGCCAGACTGTATGATAGCACAGGGACCAGATTCAAAAAGAATCCCAGGTATTCAAAATATATTTCCTGCTTATCTCTTATTTCTGTTTTCCCTTGCTTTATGGACTTAAGGACTAAGCTTGCACTTGAGATGACTACAAGAGAGAAGAAAAGAAAGGGTTGCCCAGGTGTTGCTTCTCTCCAGGCACCAATCCCCTGTTGAGCCCACAAAAATGCCAAACCCATGGCCATCAAGTCGGACCTGACTCACAGCAACCCCCTCCTTGGGTTTCCAAGGCAGTATCACTATGGAAGTAGATTGCTTTATCTTCCTTCCAAGGAGTGGCCGGTGGGTTTGAACCGCCAGCCTTCTGGTTAGCATTCAAGTGCCTTAGGAGCCCAGTGGGCTTCTTACCTGGAATGCCATTGTGTTGGCAATGATCAGAAAGACCCGCAGGGGAAGCCGAGCTTTGTAAGTTCGGTGACTCCATAGGCGGTGAGCTCCGGCTGTTATGCCCAAGGCACTGATAATATAGTAGGAAAGCCCTGCCAGGAGAAGACAGTGGGGAGGTCACTAACTGGAGCAAGTTCTATCTGGGAAAGCCCATCATAGGATATTCCCACAGATATTGGAGTCTGTGTCTTCTTTAGGCTCAGAGTAAGGACCTGCTTTGCCATGATCTCTAGGGATATCTTGATCTCTTTAGATTTTGTTGTTGTTGTTATGTGCTGTCGAGTTGGCCCCGACTCGTAGCGACCCCTCCTCCTTGGGTTGCCGAGGCAGTATCACTACAGAAGTAGACTGCCCAACCTCCCTTCCGAGGAGTGGCTGGTGGGTTTGAACCGCCAGCCTTCTGGTTAGTAGTCAAGTGCCTTAGGCACTATGCTACTAAAGCTCTCCTTTAGATTTTAGCATTTAAAATATACCACCCCACCCCACCTCAACCTAGGAATTGAGATACGGTAAGGAGACAGTGCATCAGTCTCAGAAACTTCAGGAAGGCAGGGGAGAGAATGGGGTTGGTTCTTTTCACAAAGCCATTTGTCATTCTGAGTCTGGTGGGACACTATCTTCTGTCCAAGTTTTTTTTTTTTGGTTTTCTCCCATAGATTAATGTTTGTTATTACTGATAATGTAGTATTGTGCACATAAAAGTATTTACCATTGTTGTTTGTATTTCTCCAAGGTTTTAAGAACCATAACCTACTCCTACAGAATTCAGGACCAATAATCAAGGGTGGGGAGCTCTGGTAGCATAGTGGCTAAGACACTTGCCTGCTAACCAGACAGCTGGCGGTTCAAACCCACCAGCCACTCCTCGGAAGGAAGGTTGGGCAATCCTACTTCCGTAGTGATACTGCCTCGGAAACCCAAGGAGGGGTCGCTATGAGTCGGGGCCGACTCGACGGCACATAACAACAACAACAACAATAATCAAGGGTGATTTTAAAATTTTAATAGCCAGTATGGTTCGGGCACTGACCAGTCAGAGGGGACTGGAGGCTTTCTACTGGTCCAGACATTACTAATTGCTGAGTTGTGAGTGATTGGTAGGTCATAGGGGAGAGCCTGCATGGTAGGGGCCATTTGTGGGACTCAGAACTATGGCTATTTACCAATTGGTACAAAAGCTTTTAAATTTTTAGCAGGCAGTACGGCCACACTAGGGAAAAATCAGCCCTTCACATAAGTCATATTTGCATGGGAGCTCTGGTGGCATAGTGCCTAAGACATTTGACTGCTAACCAGAAGGCTGGTGGTTCAAACCCACCAGCCACTCCTTGGAAGGAAGATTGGGCTCTACCAAGAATTCTCTAATTCATTGGATATCTTGAATGAGGTAAATGGTGTCAATATCCTCACTTTGCAGAAGAAATAGGTGCTCAGAGAGATTAAATGTTTATCTACAGTCACATGGCTATTAAGAAATGGAGCCATGGTTTGAAATTAGGTTTTCTATCAACAAGCAGTTCATGTTTCAACTACACCATCACCTCCCAAGATATGCACACAATTCCTGTGTCTTTCCTTTGCAACATCTGTCAACCCATACTCTCTCTGGGCAAGGCTAATTCAAGATAGTGGCAAGATGTGCTAAAGCTGGGGAGCACCCCAATATTGTCCAGCCCCACCTTCCTGGAGGCTCAGAAGGTGCCAGGTGTAATCTCTAACTGGGAAGTGGGTTGCTGGTCATATCTGTCTTCCTCTGTTCAGTAGCTCTAGGAGGCCTTGATAAAGCAGGCGAAATTAATAGCAGTGACTACTGACAATGTTTCATTCCTAGGGAAACAGCTAGAAACAATGGGCCCTCAGTGGCCACAGAATTTAGTTGCAGTTGGAGACACCACACATTGTAACAAATTGTCCTGTGTCCTTCTCCAGCCGCAGACACCAGCTTCCTAACACCCTTCTCTCCCTTGCCCTACCTTCCCCTGTCCCATCCTGTTCCTCCTACAGTATCCTGAGGAGAGTCATAGGCCCAGGGTCCATCCCAATGAAAGTTCTATCCACATTCCTTCTGAGCTGGGATTAAGGCCCCAGGTGATTTCTTGTCATCAAACTAGGTAGTGAGTGCTATCTTTCCAGTTACACAAATATGTGCATCTGTTGTTGTTGTTATATGCACCCGAGTCAGACCTGACACATAGCGACCCCTCCTTGGGTTTCTGAGGTGGTATCACTACAGAAGTAGATTGTCCAAGTTTCCTTCCGAGGAGTTCAAACCCACCAGCCTTCTGGTTAGCAGTCAAGTGCTTTAGGCACGCCACCGGTGCATCTAGACCTGGAAAAACAATTGAGCCAGAGCCCCACCAATGACCAAAGAGGCAGGAAAAAGGCTTGGGCATGAAAGCAGCAGCATTCAGCTCAGAAAGCACGTAAGATCCCAGTATTAAGAGGGCAGATGGGAAAAGAACCCAGGAACTCTGGTGCCTTTTTCTATTAATACCTCTGAGCCTATCCAGTAAACGCCAAAAAACAAACCCATCATCACTGAGTTGATTCCAATTCATAGCAACCCTATAGGACAGAATAGAATGGCCCCATATAGTGTCAAAGACTGTAAATCCTTATAGGAGCAGATTGTCATATCCTTATCCTACAGAGCAGCTGGTGGGTTTGAAACCCTGACCTTTTGGTTAGCAGCTAAATGCTTAACCACCGAACCAGCAGGGCTCTTTCTGTCTATCAAATGTTGTTGTTGTTGTTATGTGCCGTCGAGTCGGCCCCGACTCATAGCGACCCCTCCTTGGGTTTCCGAGGCAGTATCACTACGGAAGTAGGATTGCCCAACCTTCCTTCCGAGGAGTGGCTGGTGGGTTTGAACCGCCAGCCTTCTGGTTAGCGGTCAAGTGCTTTAGCCACTATGCTACCAGAGCTCCTATAGAGGGGCTTAAATAAGTTGGAGATGAATTCTTCCTCTCATTGATGGTTAAGCAAAATCTCATAGCTTTGGCCCTAAGAAAGAGACTAGAAAGGTTTAAGCCCCTCAGCCCTCTGGGTTGCCAAATATGTATGTCTCTTCAGCCTTTCTCTAAGGTCCTTCTGTGAGGCTCCAGAATAAAAAGAACATAAGGCACTCAGATAAAGCAAGGCAAGCCAAGATGCTCTACTCTGTGGGTGGGAAGAGAAGATGAAACCTCTGACCCCTTCCCCATCCCTCTTGGTCCTCAAGACAGAGGAATTCCAAAATCCCCATCACAAGATGTTCATTCCATCAGCTAAGTCACTTACCAAAGGGCCCAGGGAGAGGAGGAAGAGTTTTGCTGAAGGCTTATCCCATCTCTAGAATCAGCTTTGCCCCAGGTAAGAAGGGAGAAACCATACTCAAGTCACCAACCATCCAATCTGTGTGCCACATCTCTCTATCTAAAGGCACAGCACACACCCTTAGGTGGGGCACCAAAAAAGGCAGTTGGAACAGGCCTGGCTTTGGGATCTCCCTGCTCCAGCAACTGAGTGGAGACCAAACAGAGGCAGTCTGGCCACACTGGACTCACTCACACTGGTGCTGAGTGGAGTCCTAACGCTGGCAAGGGCTTGTAGGTGACAAACCTACTTGTGAAGATGCCACTCTTGGGGAAAAGGTGTAGTGAGGAGCCCACAATCTCCTTGGGGAATCCTTATCACTGCTGTTGATTTCTCATGTTACAAGTGCCTGGGTTCTCAGAGAAGCTAGACAGATATTCCACCACCCCCCCCCAAAAAATTCAAGAATCCTTCCCTGTCTGCAGATGAACTGGTTTCCTGCCTCTGGCCTGCTCTTATTCAGTGATGACACACCTGTAACCTATGGAAAGCTATCTTCCCAATCCTAACAAAAGCACTGTTGCCTCATTTTGTACCTGGAAAAATTGCGATTCTGAAAAAAGGGCTTTTCCATGTTGCATTGCACTTCACTGTCTAAGACACCTGGATGCCCATCATCTTTAGAAGACTAAGAGGCCCTGGGTGGAAGAGCTTAAACTCGGCCTACCAGTCCTTCTATGTAACTACCCTCTAAGAGTGCAGCTGCCAGCAAGCACTCCACACCTGAGACTGTTCTGGAAACCTAAGGCTTGTTACCTGGAGAGAGTGCAAATGCTCACTGTTCCTCAGAATGAAGGGCAGAGAAGAGCAGTTGGTGGGCTCTGGGTCTCTGAAGGTTGCTCTCCCTTCCCTAACCCAGGCATATGGTGGCAGGTGAAGTGCCTGGGAGTTTGCCTATACTGATGGATCCCCGAGAAGAGGTTGGCTTAGGGCAGATCAGGGACACACTGAGAACTGTTTCCCTCTCATTGCACTGTAGGGTGTGGACTGCTGAAGGCTCCCTTTTCTGGTTTGGCCTGGCTGCCCCTGGCAAGAAGGAAGGTAGGGGCCAGGGAGGACTGGGGTTAGAAGGTACTGAGTCCCTGGCACTTCAAGGCATCAGGAGATGGGTCAGGGAGCAGGCTTTAAGATGGGTAGTGGGGCATGAAACATTTCTTCAACGTTATTTCATAAAGCCATTGGTCTAGTCCCATGTTCCCATTCCTCTCCTACAAGGGCCTTGCCTCTTGTGACTGGCAGGGCTGGGACAGGCAGCCATGCACATGACTCAAACTGAAGAGTTCTTTTCAGGGCAAGCTGCCTCTCTGGCACAGGTCTATTCAGCTCAAAGCCCACACATGGTCTCAGGGCTCCTCCACAATACCCATGTTAAAACAAACCAAAAAACGAACAAACCCCAAACTCATGGCTATCGAGTTGATTCTGACTCATAGCGACCCCCTTTGGGTTTCCGAGGTGGTAAATCTTTATGGAAGTAGATTGCCAGGCTTCCTTCTGAGGAGTGGCTGGAGGGTTTGAACTGCCGACCTTCTGGTTAGAAGTCAAATGCCTTAGGCACTACACCACCCATGTTAAAAAAAAAACCCCGAATTGACAAGTCGGCCTCCCAATCCCACCAGGCTGTGCTCGCAGCTGACTCAGCCTCTCAGGCCACCAAAGAGGAATGGCTGGGAAGACCCTGACAAGAGGAGCTGGTGTCCTGGCTCTCACCTTATAAGGAGAGAGGTGAGAAAACTGAGGGCCTGGGTCAGGAGGAGGAGGACAAGGGCAACTGCTTACCCCAGAGCCAGGTGTAGAACTTGCAGGTGGGAACCAGTGTGATCCCATACAGGGCTCCCACATGCAGCAAAAACATAAGGATGATGTTTCTCCAGACATACACAGTCTTGGGCCTTGGACCCTCCTTATCCTTGTAGCTAGGGTCATAGATATCATCTTTAATTTCAGGGCGGATTTCTTCCTCCAAGTGTAGGAGAGTTTTCTCCAACTTGCCTCCTCCATTCTGCAGGATTCTGGAGGAGGGCGCTGTGATGGTGGTGGTGGTTGTGTAGGTGCTAGATATCTGGAAGGGAAAGGACACAGAGAGTCAGGAAGGAGAGAATCAGGAGCCGACACGTGGACCCAGCAGGGGCCACTTCATTCTTGAATCGAGATGGGGGAAGGGTGGAGCGCCCGCGTAGACCCTGCCCCATTTCCCAAGTGGATTGAGGGCGGGGTCTATCCGGTGGAAGAGAGGAAAGTTACTGGGAACTGTGCAGATAGATTGGTGGGTGAAACCTCAAGGTGAAGGGGCAAAGCAGGAGGAATAAGAGTCTCACCTCTATACACACACAAAGGAAACCCGCGTAGATATTCAGAAAGGTACTGCCAAGACTGGATTGTTCTGCATTTTAAAGCTTAAGGAACAAAAGTTGGGGAACCCAAGTCCCCAAATGACAATCCCCATTCCCCGCAAATTGAAAAAAGTACAATTCGCAAAAGGTGGCAAGTCCTTCCCGCAGCTCTCAACTCTCTCCAACCAACCAGTCACCTAGAAGTCCCAGCAGTGCAGGCGAACCCGCCGGCTGGGGGCCATTGCTTGGACGCTCACCTCTTCTTGCAGCAGGTGGGCAGGCATCTTGGCTCTTGGATGCCCGAATCACTTTTCTAGGGCTGAGACGGAGGAGCTGAGTTCGGGGCAGCCTGGACAGAAGGTGGACTTCTGTTCGGGATCCCGTTTTTGCGCTGCGGTGTGCGGCGCTGTGCTCAGGGCTCTGTCTCTCTCTGTGACTTGCGCGCTGGATCCGAGGCCGGGTCGGATCCGGTGTGCCGGGAGTTCCCGAGGGTGGCGATTTAAAGGCTTTCAGCTGGCAGGGGGTGACGATGTCCCGTATTTCCTCAGGTCCTTTTTATTCGCTGCCAACAAGGGGCAAAGTGCGCAGGGCCGGCTGGCCGAGGTTGTCCCGCGTGGAGGTGCAGGAGGGATGGCGAGGGGAGGAGACAGTAAGCCGAGGCGTGCAGGGGGCCCGAGCCGGGTCAACGGGATGCTGCCAAGAGCAGCCGCCGCCTCTGGGGAAATGCTAATGATGCCTCTATTCACTCTGGCGCGTCATTGGCCGAAGGGAATTTGGTGCCACCTCGTCCTGCCGTTGCCATTGGCTCTGCGCAATCTGCTGTTCCCCATGCCGCAAGCTCCTCGCTCCCCCTCCCCTCTCTTTCTCTTTTCCCTCTCTTCCTCTGGCCTCTGGGCCTCTGCCTGGCACCCCGCGGCCTCGTAGGCGCTCGGGGTTTTCTTTCTGGAAGAGGGAGAAGACCCGGCTGGAGGTCGGGGGGTGGTGGTGGAGAACAAGCTCAGAAATGGCCTCTGAGTACACCGCGAATGGGTGGGCGCTGGGGAAGTTTCGGTGGGAACAGTAGAGAAGCCACAGTTGGAGACTGCTACTTCCAATTCCAGCTCCTCTGCCCATTTCCAGAGACGCAGAGGAGGGGAGACGTGGCTTCAGCCCGAGGGTGTAGAGTTAAGGGGGCTGTGCGCGCTGCGGAACAATGGCTCTGCTCCGCCCACTAACTACTCAGGCTAACTAGACTCGGCGCTCAACTCTGGCCCTGGCTCCCCGACACACTATAGCACAGACCGGCACGCGTGCCCAATGTTCAGTCCCTGGGCAGTTCAGCAGGAGACGCTCCCCGTTAGGCACCAGTGGGTAATGCCATCCCAATGTCCACGTCTCCAGAACGTGGATGAGATGTTTTGGAGATTCCTTAGATTTCCAGGTTGTTAATTTTTAAGTCTCCTTCATGGAAAAGGGGAAAAGCAGGTGAAAGGACTTGTAATGAGGAGTAAGAATAGCTGACAGGTATTGAATTGTTGCTTGGTTAGTTGCAGTGGAGTCGGCTCAGACTCAAGGCGACCCCATGTACAAAAGAAGGAAAAATGGCTGGATCCTGCCCTACCTTCAGGATCATTGATGTGCCTGCGTCCATTGTTACTGCCATTGTATCGTTTGAACGCCTTCCAACCTACAGGGTTCATCTTCCATATGTGCCAATTATCTCTTGTGTTTGTCATTAGCCTATTTTCAGAAGTAGATTGCCAGGTAGATTCTTCCTAGTCTGCCTTGGTAAAGAAGCCCCAGTGAAACCTATCCATCATGGGTGACCCTACTGATAATTTGAAATAGCCAACATTGTAGCAACACGCAGGCCACTACAGTATGACAAACTGACAGACAGGTGGTGGATTGTATTATTACTGCAAGCCAATTCACAAGAATCACCTGATGTAATCTTCACTGTGACCCTATGAGGTAGGTACTCCATTATTCCATATCTAGACCGAGATAAGGAGAGATCAAGTAGCTTGCCTATGGCCATAGTAGCCAATAAGTGGTAGAGCAAGGGTCTGAACTAAAAAAAAAAAAAAAATACTATGCTACAGGAGCTCTGGTAGC